TATCGCTCTCTACAACTACCCGAAAGGGGGTTGTGGTGACGTGGGTGTCAGTCTCTTCTCCCAAGTAACAAGCGATAGGAGAAGAGGAAACGGCCTCAAGTTGTTCCAGGAGAGGTTTAGATTGGATATTAGGAAAGATTTCTTCACTGAAAGGGTTATCAAGCATTTGAACAGGCTGCCCAGGGAAGTGGTTGAGTCACCATCCCTGGAGTGTAGACATGGCACTTAAGGGACATGGTTTAGTGGCGTACTTGGCAACGTTAGGTTTATGGTTGGACTTGATCTTAAAGGTCTTTTCCAACCTAAATCATTCTATGATTCTATGATTCTGTTCTATGTGTGATGCATGCAGTAGGTAATATCAAAGGGCAGTAGCCACATTACAGCGCGCTCCAGCAATAACTTCACTGACCTGCATCTGCAGAAGTGCAAAGGAGGTAGAGAAAGGAGCCTTTCAGACACATGTTCTGCATGAAAACCAGATTACCTTTAAAGCCCTGAACTTCAAATACCATAACTTTTTACCCTCCTCATGCAGACAACTTTAGGGAGATGTGGGATCTTAGCTGTCTGGCTGGATAGTGGGGAATGTGCTTCATATAAGAGGAGAGCATCTACACACTCAGGAAAGTAAAGAGCATACAGAAGTTATAAAAGACAGTCTGTTCCTTCGTAAATCCAGTGTCTCGCTTGCCTTCAATATTTACATGTGTGTGTGTATTTGGTATTTGAGTGACAGAAATTAGTCTTCTATGGTTCTTTACACCTTTTAACATTATGTCATATAAGAGGACTAGGCTGAATCTGGACAAAGAGCAATCTGAGGCAATTGTACTCCCTGTCATTCTGCAGTTCTGGTCCACCCTCCTTATGGTAAGGTGATGTTATTCATACTGGTCATTAGCTGCTTCTTTAATAAAGTAGTGAACAGATTTAGTGAACAAATTAGATATGTTCCTGGCAAAGAGATTTTTGAGCTTTGGGCCAAAGCAAATAAGAAGTAGGAAAAAAAAGCAGTTGCTGTTAGCATATGAATCTCTAGAATTATTCTATGATGAAAGTTTTTATCAAGGTTACAAGTTTTTTTACAAGGTTTCATCCTATAATTGCATTCTGCTTGTACCTTGCAGTGAGCCACCTCTATGGATTTGGACTGATGGATGCTGAAGCAATGGTGATAGAAGCAGAAAAGTGGACAACGGTCCCTCCACAGCACGTGTGTGTGGAGAACACGGATCGGCAAATCAAGTAATATCTGCTGCCAAAACTCTTGCTGGCATAGACTTATGGAAAGAAGTTGGGTATAATATACCCCTCCCTTGCATTGTGTTTAATGGCTGATTTTGAAAGCTACACTAGGGATCACTCTCACCTTCAGATATGTCAGATCATTTGCCTGTAAAGTTAGTTCCCTGCAATTCTTGAAATGGAATTTAAAGCATGTCCCAAAACCTGAAGGCATAAAACAAGTCAGTCTGGATGTTAATTGATACTGGCATAGAAGAACAAGAATGTCTAGTTGAGTGCACCGCAGTCATCTTTGTAAGATGAGTACAAACTCAATAGTCCAGTGTCTAACAGACAAATATTCTTTTCATTAAAATCTTATATCATATTATCACTCTGAAACAGTCTCAGAACAGTCTCTGTCTCAGAGGCTAAGACTAAACTGGTTTTTGCTTGCTAGGATAGGGTCTCTATAGAACCAGGCTTAAGAGTAGTATTCTGTACATGCACTCTGTGGATACAGAGGGAACATCAGTCATAAGGCAAATTTCCAAAGCCTTAAAATTATTGAGGAAAGTTTTTACTTGATAGATATACTTGACAGTCTAGGTCCATAATTGGTATAGTCTGCAAGGAAGCCATGCCAATTTAAACCATCTGAGTCCAATACTGTTTGCCCACTGCTACAGTTAATATGTAAACTTGCTATTACATAAGCAAGGACTATGGCTATGCCAGGCAATTCCTGGTACTTAATGACCAGCTGTCATCCCATGACAATCCCAGCTGGCCACTAATCCACAAAAAATGCTCTGTACCAAAGGTTTATTCCTATTACAGGTCTTCACTGCCCTCTTTTAGCATGTGTACATGTCAGTATAGCCCTTAATAGAAAGCCCAGTAATTGCCAGTGACTGCAGTAAAGTAATTACACTATGGTGATAGTTTCAGCTAGGAAATAAGTATTAAAACTAAGGGTTATAGGCTACTGATTTCTCATAAATGATTGTCCAACACTGACAGTCACTACTAAGAAAAAGTGATTTAGTTGTCAGGAACAAGCAAGAAACATTGATGTTGTTTTTATATGCTTATATTATAGAACTATACGGCCTGACAGTGTTGTACGTTCTATTTACAAAGCCACCGGCTGTTCAGATAATTCCAACCACCACGTGATCTACTTGGAGCATGTGGTTGTACGCATCACTATTACTCATCCTCGACGTGGAGACTTGTCAATTTACCTAACCTCTCCTTCTGGAACTAGGTCACAGCTCTTGGCCAACAGGTATAGTATGATGACAGAACTTTGCAACCCAGTCAGCACGCAGAGCCTGCACTGAGATTGCAGCATCAAAGAGTAGTCAAGTCATTACAGTAGGTTTTGCTGAAAGACACAAGTTCTTGATTATTTTTTCTGAGAGAGATGGGGAAAATGAAGAACAAACAAACTGAAAGATGGCAACCTCTGTCTATCAGTAGAAGAATAGGTTGTAAAGTTGCTGAAGATCATCATCTTTAAAACTAAGAATAGTCAATTTTGATAGTCTTTTGTGGCTCACCAATTATTAGATGGCTGGGAAGTGCAAAGAAAATAATAACAGGCTGAGTGTTACAGAAGGAAACTGAAGCTGAATGGAAATGTGTTTCGACGTACTACTGACACTTATTTTTCATTCCCCTCCTTTCTTATGCCTTTGTCTACTAGTAATAAAAATCAGACAGTATAGTAATCTTCTCTTACTATTTTCTTTGAGCTTTCAGAATATGGTTATGACTCCTGATGTTACCAATTTGCATATCCTTTTTTCCCCTTTTGTAGTAGTATGTAGTATGCTCGAGCCATGAAAGGTTCTTGGTAGGAGAATGCTGAGAAGTTGCGCTAGCACTTTAAAATTAATTGGTCCATCTATAAACAGCCTATTAAAAATTTTAAAAAGTCAGAAATTTCCTTCATCCCATAGATCTGCAATGGATACTTGCTGTTGGATGTCAGGCCCCTCTAACATTAGCCACTAAGAAAGGTCCATCCTTTTTTTTCATTCTGTCACCTCTACAGTATGTTCTTGGAGAAACTGTGAGACTGCATCAAGTAGTTTCTTTTTTTCCAGATTGAACTCAAACAAGTATATCTTTATCCAATGTAGCATTTCCAACATTTGTGCAATTTCAGCCCCTAGAGATGAGGTACATCATTAGCATTTGTCCTTAACAAACTGAAAGGCTGCCCAGTGGTATTTCTATACCATTCATTATTACCATATCATTATTCCTATAAATGTTTCCATACTTCTCCAGATGACTAGGAAATTCTTCCTGACAGGACCATAGTATAATAAGGAATATTTTTGCCTTGGTGAGTAGCAACTTTAGATGACTGCAGCTCTGCTGGACACAGTGCGTGGCTTCCACACAAAAATTGACATTAGTGCAATGTGTCTCAGAAGCAGCAAGAGCTGCCATACGTCACATCCATGTTGTGAGAACTTTTCTGCCTTCCCACTCAAGTCTTCGCAAAAGTTTCTATCCCTAGACCTATTCCTCAAAGCTTGTAATGAATTGAGAGTGTCTTGCTTTCCAGACTGTCTCATCATCTACATTTCCTCAGTCAGATTTGCTGAAAAAAGCACATCAAATGGAAAGAAAGTTGTTATGGAGTTTTTGGCCCCTTTAGGATATCTCATGTGTTTCATTATCAGTGTTGTCAGTGCCTTGCAAACAAGACACACATGCACACACATCTATCTCCTTGCTATACTGAACAAAGAACTTACCCTTTGCTAACCAGTGCAGAGGGCAGACTTCTACCCTCTGAACAGCTACGAATCAGGCTTTTGTTTTCTATTTGAAGAAAACCTTCTTTATCTTTCTGTTCTGTTTTTATGCTACAGTTCTTCCATGCTTCAAAATGAAAACATCTAGAAGTCCTCCAACTAGGTATCCAAACAAAACAAGCTTGTGTAAACCCAGTGGTCTTAACACAGCTAACTCTTGGCTCTAGCCTTTCATGTCTTGCAGCTGACTCACAGCAAGTGGGAATTAAAGACATTCCAGTATTCACGGTTCACCTCTGGTGATGACTGGTATGTGGAAAAAGTACAAAGTTTAATTAAATCAGTCTCTTTGTAACCCCTGCTACTTAAAAAGTAATTGTTTTCTGTGCCTGTAGTAGAGAAAGAAAAAGTAAGTGTGTGTATTGAAATACAGTGGTGTTCAGCTGCTTCTTATCCTATACGATCAAAACACTAGCGTGAAAACAAAGAAACCTGAAAGGCCATTTAATGTTTTGGCATTTTGCAAAAACAAATTATTAATGAAAGAGCAAATATTCATAGGTTCACACCAGAAATTCCTTCCCCAAGCAAGTTTCAGAGATATACTGACTTGTCAGTCACATTTGGCTGACACAAACTCACAGCTCTGGGGTACTAGTATTAAGCAATAAATGTATTTTGCAAAATCTAGGTCTGAAATACACTAGAGCCTTCACAAAGCCCTTTCTTAGGGTAAAGTGATGTATGTGGACATAACAGACTTCAAAATGATATTTCAAGACTTGTTTTATTTCGATTTGCTGTTTCTCAGTTTAGTTGTCTTACAATTAGTATACTGATTGTTGTTGGGTGTGTATGCTTTATCATGATGTTATGAAAATTGGTGTAGGAGTATTGTTATTCACTAACATGAAAATTTCTTTAGTTTTGAGGCATTTGATTTTTAAAGTATTAATCACAAGGGCATCAAAACAAAGTCATTCAAGTGCAAATAGCATGCAGGGATGCCTTGGCAGCAAATGGTCTGGGTTTTTTTCTATATGCAAAGGTTCCAGAGGCTGCTACCTCACTGAGACGCTTTTCTCAGACATACAAGAGCTTTTAATGCACATGTACATGATTAATAGCAGCAATATAACTAGCGATAGGACGAGAGGAAATGGCCTCAAGTTGCACCAGGGGAGGTTTAGATTAGATATTAGGAAAAATTTCTTTATGGAGAGAGTGGTCAAGCATTGGAACAGGCTGCCCAGGGAGGTGGTGGAGTCACCATCACTGGAAGTGTTCAAAAAACGTGTAGATGTGGCACTTTGGGACATGGTTACTATAGTGGGCATGGTGGTGGTGGGTTGATGGTTGGACTTGATGATCTTAAAGGTCTTTTCCAACCTTAATGATTCTGTGATTCTGTGAATACCAGCTGTTTTTACTGAAACTAGGGAAAACCTCATTGCTTTACCATTACTCATCTGGGTTTAATTCAAAACAGTCTGCTGGTAAAATGTCTTAAAGTGCAAAAGGTATATTTTACACATGTGCACTTTTTCTACCAGTTCTGGAAAGAAAAGTCACTATGTAGTTTCTGGTGCATTGACAGTAGGTTCTCCAGGCAATACCTGGCCTTTTTCTGCATATTTTGTTCTTAATGTTGGCATCCCCTAAAATGACTTCAGTAAGAAAACTTGTTAATTGTAGGTGATGTGGATTCCTTTGCAGCTATTTGGTGGATTACACTGTCACTGCCTTGAGCCTCGTGTATTCTTTAAAAAACTGCATTACAGGGAACATATGCTTTGTTGTTTGGAAAGTATTAAACATGATTACATTGTATATACTGCAACAGAAGAAAAAATAGGCTTGGAAAGCGCTGGCTGGTGTGAGGATGAGAATTAATTGTTCAAATGATTACAGTTAAGTCCAAAGGGGAACGGTATCCCCTTTTTAAAAACAGTTGGCCACTGAATTTAGAAGCATATGTTTCTGAGTATTTTTGAAACATAACCATTATCTGTTCTAAAAGACATTCAATACAGGAGGCCATGGAGGAGCAGCTAAATAGAAAGAGGATAGAAGCTGCAAACTTGGGAATAGTTTGTCTCCCACCAAAGTCACAGCTTGTTTAAATCTTGCTCTTTAAATTTAAATCAGCTGTTGCCATTCATGCTGCATAACTGAATGTTTTTTTAACCATGGGGTGGCAAGTTTCCAGGCCACTAGATTCCTATGCTTGCATGGCACTGACATTAATAATACCTTTGTTCAGCAACAAAAGGAAATATTTTCAATACCATCTTTTTCCTATAATGAAATCTTCAATAATCAGTAAATTGTAATAATACCCTCCTCTGCAGAAAACTCTTAGACCAAAACTGAGGTGTTCTCATCTGATCTCACTTGCAAGATCACTTCATAAAAATTCCTGGTGACCAGAAGTAGAGGAACCCTTTTCTGTACAGAAGGTCATTTTAATTTCTGGACCAGTCCATCTTACATCTTTATTGCAGTTTACACATTAGACTTCAGTAACAAAAATTACATTTTAGGGGTAAAAAGAAAAGGATAGGGCCAACTTGTGTGCTGAGTCTCAGTGTTTCAAGTAGCTGTGAAAATTACCCTATGATGATATTATTAAATCCAGGATGAGTAAACAATAATCCTCTGCTTATGCTATGTCCACAGGATGAAGCAGTTCTTGGAAAACTCCCTCCCAACTCTAACTTGCTATGTTTAATTTAATTTATGTCTATGTCTTTTATTTTTCTGAATAGACACCCAGTACCCTTCTATCACCCATTCTTTGAACTGCAATTTCAATGCCAATATCTCTAAGAAGGATTTGAGTACTTCTTTTGTTATATACTGTCAGTATTAGCAATAGATATGGTGAGGAGCACTGGGGATACTGGAGACACAACATTAAAAAAAACCAAACAAACAATAAACAATTTTTTTATCTCAAAGAGGAAAAAGTTACTGCTGTTTTTTTTTTAACTGGGTTTATATACAAGAGTGTAAATGAATGCAAGGGACACTATCCTCCATCTAACTCATCATGGAAGATGTTCAAGGATAAATGTGGAAAAAGAATGAAGTGCAATATATCTGAGATCTAGAATGACACATGCCTTTCTTTGAGGACTGAAACTAGCAAAGAATTAATCAGGGTGATCTGCAGGGTAGGCAGGTATTGGATTTTAAAATTCAGAACTTTAAGTTCCATTTTAGTGGAAAATTAGTATCCATAATTAAAAGTTTGAAATAATTTTCAATAGTAGAAGCATTAATAAAGACAAATGTATGAAGACAAATTTAGGGTCCAAATAAATGTCTCAGATTATGGGTTTTGTACTGAACCAAAAATAAAGAGAGGAGCTGTGTAAGACACACTAGAGGAAGAACACCTAGGATTTTGCTTCCTGTAGATAGATTTGCCCCAGCTACTATGGCAAGGATGAATGGGTCTTTTCCTAGCCTTATAAAAACTAGGCCCAGCTCAATCTTAGTATAACAACACTTATTACATTGAGTTTCAGCTGGAATAAATTGAATTGTGTGATGAATGCTCAGTCTCCCCTACTGCCCTTACACTAATCAGAGATCCCTTTTCAGACCTACATGACTAATGGATAGGAAAAGTCTGTATATGTGGCACCATGTTCATTCATGCTCTTGCATTAGATTTTCTACCTGTTTAGAGTGAGGTTTCTGAAGATTTACTGCAAATTCAATAGGAAAACACACATAGCTTTTAAGACGACAACTATTAGCATCAGCCACACAGTTGGCTGACCAGTGCAGTATGTGGAACTCAGCAGCCTGACATGTCTTTAGGTGATGACAGAATTTCATGCTTATATGTATATAAGCATGTATATAAGCATGGTCATAAAAATTATCAGATTATTCTAAGCATCTATAAGAACCTGTAATAGTCAACTAACAATTCATCAGACCATATACTAATAATTTACTAGTCTGTGGCTAGTTTTACTATTTACTAGTCCTATCTGTCATGTTTTTGTGAAATTTGTTGCATTCAAACAACTTATTTTAATGTTATCAGCACTAATAAATATGAGTAATATAGGCATTCACAGAGAATGGAAAATAGTTACACAAATGAGAGGGCAAAAATCGACTATGGGCTGAATCCTATAAGTGCTCCATGCATGTGGGTCCTACTAAGGAGAGCTTTGGATATGTAGACCCATGCAACACTTGGCCTCATGCCTCTGACCAGTTTTCAGTAAGAATGCATTTTATCAGCATTCTATGTGAACAATTTAACCAGAACTTGGCACATATTCACATTGCTACAAAAGTATCCTGCTTTCCCAAAGTTTTCCCACTGAACTTCATAACCTTTGGAGAATAAAGATTGAAATGTACTTAGAAAATAACAGTAAAGAATCAAGGGAGTATAAAATGTATTTTTAAGAAGAATTAGAGTATTTTCATAGAATCGTAGAATAGTTCGGGTTGGAAGGACCCTTTAAAGCTCATCTAGCCCAACCCACCTGCAATGAGCAGGGAAATCTTCAACTAGAGCAGATTGCTCAGTCTTATCCAACCTGACCTCGAACACTTCCAGGGATGGGGCATCTACCACCTCTCTAGGCAACCTGTTCCAGTGTTTCACCACCCTCACTGTGAAAAATTTCCTCCTTATGTCTAGTTGAAATCTGCCCTTTTTTAGTTTAAAACCATTACCCCTTGTCCTATCCCAACAGGCCCTGCTAAAAAGTCTGTCCCCATCTTTCTTTTAAGCCCCCTTTAAGTACTGGAAGGCTGCAATAAGGTCTCCCCCCGGAGCCTTCTCTTCTCCAGGCTGAACAACCCCAACTCCCTCAGCCTTTCCTCATAGGCGAGGTGTTCCATCCCTCTGATCATTTCTGTGGCCCTCCTCTGGACCCTCTCCTACAGGTCCATGCCTTTCCTGTGCTGAGGGCTCCAGAGCTGGATGCAGTACTCCAGGTGGGGTCTCACCACAGCGGAGTAGAGGGGCAGAATCCCCTCGCTCGACCTGCTGGCCATGCTTCTTTGGATGCAGCCCAGGACACGGTCGGCCTTCTGGGGTGCGAGTGCACATTGCCTGCTCATGGCCACCAGTACCCCCAAAGACTTCTCAGCATGGCTGCTCTCACTCCCTTCATCCCCCAGCCTGTACTGATACTGGGGGGTGCCCCGACCCAGATTCAGGACCCTTCACTTGGCCTTGTTGCACCTCATGAGGTTCACACGGGTCCAGTCCTCAAGCTTGTAGTCAAACACTAGATTTCTCTCAATTTAATGGAAAAGTATTCTTAATCCATTGGATTTTCTACTGTACAGATAAAATTTTAATGAAAAATATTTAAGTATAGCTGTCACCAGTGGTATAAAAAGTAATTAAAATGCTGATAAATGTAATAGTTCTCATTCCGCTTTGTGTGTGAGAGAGGGAGATCTTTGTATGTGTGTATGTATATCTCTCTCTCTCTCTTTAAAGCTGAGGTGTGCCATTTTATTTAGTAGAGGCAACAGTCTTGATTAGAGTGTATCTATCTCCCATCAGTAGCTGTGGGGTACCAGGCAACATGCTGTGAGAAATTAATAGAAATGCAAGTTCTCTTGTGTCTTTCCAAAATCTCATTAATAAAGTCCATTAATAAACTCCCACCAGTCCACCTTTCCCTTCCCCTACCTGATCAGCATCAAATTGCAGCCTCTGAACTGGGTCCCCCATACTAGAAATTACTGTAATCCAGGCCTGAGCTCTAACCTCTTCACCCAAGACCTAAGTAATTATGGTAATGTTGTTAGTCAGATGAAATCATCAGATGCCATTAGTCCCTCAGTTTTACCCAAACTCAATAAAGTTTTTGAATAGAGTGATATCTTGGTCATTTGAGGTTTCAGACCAATGTCTCAATTGCCTCACAAGGAATCACATATATTGAGTTGCTCATATTGTTTCAGTCAATCCTTTTATTTGCTTAAAATCCCCTTTCAGTATTTCAATTCAAAACCAAAGATAAATGTTACAGAACTTTTCCAACTTAAAGTTGTTTGTATTTACATCATGCTTTTAAAGCAAAGGATGTGCTGTATTTTATGCACTTTTCCCAAGACACGTGCATTCTCTTAAGTCTTAGTAGCAATTATGACAAATGATGACATGTAAAGAATCTTCTCCATTAAAAACAAATAAACAAACGAACAAAACAAAAAAAACTGGTAAATGTATTTGAAAGATGTGCTGAAAAACCATTATGAGTAATGTTATGCAAAGGACTGTCTAAGTAGTATATCTTTCAAGAGTCTGGAGACTTGGAGGCTTAGCTCCGCTAAAATGGTGCTTTTAATGTCATGATTTATTTTAGGTTATTTGATCATTCAATGGAAGGATTTAAAAACTGGGAGTTTATGACTACTCACTCGTGGAGTGAAAAAGCAGCAGGTGACTGGATCTTGGAAATCTGTGACACTCCATCTCAGCTGAGAAATTTCAAGACTCCAGGTATGATTCTAACCTTTATTTGGGATCACTGGATTCAGAAGAATACTTGCAGTTGCTAGCACTGCTTTGACTCTTTTACACCTTTGATTTATACCCGTGAGATCTCATTGGTTTTTATGTGATTGGCAGAGCTCTGAAGACCTATGCATTATAATTACAAGAAAGACATTGAGTTGCTGGAGTGTGTCCAAAGAAGGGCAACAAAGCTGGTGAGGGGTCTGGAGCACAAGTCTTATGAGGAGCAGCTGAGGGAACTGGGGTTGTTTAGTCTGGAGAAAAGGAGGCTGAAGGGAGACCTTATCACTCTCTACAACTACCTAAAAGGGGGTTGTGGCGAGGTGGGTGTTGGTCTCTTCTCCCAAGTAACTAGAGATAGAACGAGAGGAAATGGCCTCAAGTTGTGCCAGGGGAGGTTTAGATTAGATATTACGAAAAATTTCTTTATGGAGAGAGTGGTCAAGCATTGGAACAGGCTGCCCAGGGAGGTGGTAGAGTCACCATCACTGGAAGTGTTCAAAAAACGTGTAGACGTGGCACTTTGGGACATGGTTACTATAGTGGGCATGATGGTGTTGGGTTGATGGTTGGACTTGATGATCTTAAAGGTCTTTTCCAACCTTAATGATTCTGTGATATTATTCTAATTTTCAGTTATCAAAGCAAATGTAATTTTTATGTTGCTGATATTTTTCACTTAAGACGTGGTTCTCTTTTATCCTGAACTTACTTCTGGTTTCTGTGGAGAAGTTCACCTTCTTGGGGTAAACTCCCCTCTTTCTTGCATTCAGAGTTGTTGCCTCAAAATATAAAAAGATAGTTTTGCCATTTATAGTGAGATCATACCAAATGTGAATTCTTCAAGCAGAGGAAGACTCCTGTACCATCTGGCAGGTTACCAAGAGTCAGTGCCTTAAACAAACAAAATCTTTAGTAGGTGGAGTTTTCAAGGAAAAAGACACAAAACTGCATGAAACTGCACGTGCCACATTTGAAAGTAGATATAATATTTCCATATACAGACATCTGTTTTCCTGGATGTTAAATATAGTTTTATCTGACAGGTCTTCAACATACATTAGAGCAGCCCAAAGTTACTCTACTGTATTAATTTTTCCAGTGACTCTCATGGCTGATATACAGACTAAGAATTTATTTCCATATTGTTTTTCTTTGCTTTGTATATTTTTATCCTACCCATAAGGAAAACAGTGGTTACATAACTAGACAATCCCTTTACACAGAAGTAAGAAATTGCATTGTGCTCCTGTGCATATAGGTAAAGTGCCCAGGCCTCGCATTTGTTTACTTAAGAACTAGAATTTTTAAGGCTACAGACATTCTTCTGTTTTTAAGTCCCACTGCACAGTTCAGTTTCATTCACAAATTTCAGAATGAACACTTCAAAAGAAATGGAGTTTGAGGCTTTCAAAGAGACTCACAGAAGTAGGTGCTTACTTCTATTTACTGATTATGAGGTCCCTGTAGACCTACTGAACCTTTCAGCCTTGAGACCTATTTTGAAATATATATAGTATACACAGACAAAAATATATGCATGAATACTGAATAGTCCCTCTCATGGGGCCTCACATCAAAACAGGTGGAAACCCTTTAATAAAAAAACTCTCATGGGGCTACACCTGGCTGGCAACTAGTCACCAGCAGCGTTCCTCGGGACTCAGTCCTAGGGCCGGTTCTGTTCAATATTTTTATCAATGATCCAGATGCAGGAATTGAATGCACCCTTATCAAGTTTGCTGATGATACCAAACCGGAAGGTTCTGTTGACTCTCTTGAGGGACAAGAGGCCTTGCAGAGGGATCTAGATAGACTGGAGCATTGGGCAATTATCACCGACATGAAATTTAACAAGTCCAAGTGTTGGATTCTCCACCTGGGACAGAGTAATGCTGGGCACAAGTTTAAATTGGGAGAGGAGTGGCTGGAGAGCAGCCCTGAAGAAAGGGAGCTGAGGGTACTGGTTGACAGTAGGCTCAATATGAGTCAGCAGTGTGCCCTGGCAGCCAAGAAGGCAAACCGCATTCTGGGGTGCATCAAACACAGTATAACCAGCCGGTCAAATTAGAGCTGAATGCTACTAATGTATTGGAAATTACTTATCACTAAAGCTAAATTAACACTTACTCTTGATATCTTAGACTTGTGATGTTAATTGTACCAGCAAATGCAGAGCAAAGTTTCCTGTACACTAAAAGAGGTATTCATTAAATATATTGGGAAATGTAACCATAGACTATGAGCATAACCATGTAGTTCCTTTTTATATGTCCAGAGGATTTTCAGTGTTTTTGAATCTGATAAGAGACAGGTATTAAACAATAACTACATAATTTAAATTTAATCAGATTACTTGAAAAAAAGAGAGACAAAAATCAATGATTTTCAACTGTCTTACACTTATTCTTGAAGCAGCCAGGAGCTGCTCTGACTTGAAGGACAAGTTAGGGCAGCCCTTCACCTTTTTATGTACTGGCACCCAATGGTTCCTCCAAGGGGGATGAAGGATAGCTAGAGCACAACACATTTCAGCTATTTCCCCTCTTTTCTCTGCCCTGGCATGCTCCCTATACTAAAGCCTGGAAAAGAACTAGCATGGAGCCATTTTTAAAACTGTTCAGCTGGGCTATTCTCCAGACATAATTTACAGCCCTTTTATGTTACCAGGACACTCTAAAAGAGACAGACTACATTTCCAGCTTTACACTTTAAAGCCTGTTGCTGCAAAGTCTTTTTTTTATGAGTTCTCATATGGTCTTGTTGATTTACTGATTTCAGTACTTTATATATATTATTCATTGTGCTACAGTGGCTATTCTTCTGGGACTGATTTCTTTTGCTCCATGAGGACTAAAACCTGAAGTTTCAACTCTGGAGGAAAAGGAGCAGTAAGGCCATGGAATACGAAGAAAGGACATGCCCAGCTGAGGGCAGTGCAGGAAGCTAGTATGCAAAAAAATCTTGCTGGAGAATATATACTTTACTTTCTTATAACCTGAATGTGAAACACAGTTGTAGCCTGGTTAGGGTTTTGTGCACTTTGGGATTTCACAAGGTACAGTCTGGTTGTGAATTTGTGCCCTGGTTCATTGTATCGTATTTAGTAATACATCCCCCAGCTTTCTGCAGTGGTTCTTGCCTCATGATGGAAGCTATCCAATGGCATTTCTGTT